TTTTTTTTTTTTTTTTTATTTTTCTTTGCGAGTGCGTCTATTTTGTTTCGTGCAAAACATTTACATTTTTTGTTCCCAGGAATTCTGTAAAAATTGGAGTGTAGAGTAATAGAGGGGATATCTCGATACTATTATCGAGAATACTGATTAACGCGTTTCGACGGACTTTTCCAGTCAAAGCGATCGATATTCGGAGATTGAAAAATTTTCGAAATTGATCTCTCTCGAAATTCCAATGCACCGAGTACCGTTCAAATCCTACATCGTGTCTGGAATTTCAAATTTCCAACTTGTGAATTTCAAATCTGTCTATCTCTAATTTGTTATAATTTCTACAAAAAAACAAAAAGAGAGATACAAATTGGTACGAATTTCTCACTACTTTGCTGCTCATGGCAAAGTCTCCCGATAACTTTCTAACAATTTTCCCGGTTCTCTACGAGCGAACGGCGTATTCGCACGGAACCACCAGTAATGGCTGACCTTTACGTTTTGTCGCGTGACATGGGACGCTTCGACATCCGAATACTGTGCTTAGTTTATCGTCACCTAGTCGTACGCGAACGCGAATGTTCTCCATTTTCGTACGGGACTCAAACTCTTCGTTCTCTTCGCGACATATATTGGTTTCGTGAATATTTTTAACGATTTCGTCGCAAGCATTCGTTACGTCTCCGCCTGTGCGTACGATTTGCTGGCTGTTAACACTCGCGTGACGAAAGAATCGAGGAATAATTTGTCAAGAGCCTTTGCTACACATTGCCATTCCTTGATCGTTCGGGGATAAACTGTTTCAAATGGCCACGTCGCCGTGCACGTGATAAAATCGCTTCATCAACCTGACCGTATTTTTCTTTCTTTCTTTTTCTAGACTTGTTGTTAGAAGTTGAAGTTGTTGATCGGTTTTAATATTCTGTCGGGAACAATTAGTACGAATGGTTTCATAATATACCAAGCAAACAGAAGTAAAAGAATTTTTGCAGGTTTGAGATGAATCGACCCATGACGCTGACATTTGAAAAATTGACTTTCACAGCGGCAGGAATGTTTGTTGGTATTATAGCGTGTAAATATTAATTAATTAGGTCCATCACGCAGCAGGAAAATTCAATACCGTGAAAACGAAGTGATTATCGAATCGGAGAAATGGATATTAAATGGGAATTCGTAAGAGGTATTCTATTTTGAATACTTTGTGCACTTAGTTCAGATAGTTGTAGCTATTGTAAAATTATTTAAACGGAGGAATGGTGCGAACGAGTCAGCCAGAAATCAAGATTCAAGCGAAAAGTGGCTGTGAAATGATGAAATACAACACTCTGTCATTTTTTGTTCCTACGATCCCTGTCGACAAATATACTGGCTATATGTTCTAAACTCAAAGTGGATCGATTGTCGTTAGTATAATAATTAGTTTCGTTTTATAAATTTTATTTGTCCGTAGAATAACAATTATCAGATGCAAGGGCGATAAAATTCGATGAAAGATTTGATTAATTTTTATAATTGCACGATTCGAGAAGAAAATAGTTACATCTCTGGTATGCAAATAAATCGCTCGAAGAAATAGTAGTTTCAATGAATAAATTCATACGATATGCAAA